GAATAAGCTTATTGCTGATTACTGCTGCAGCTCATATAAGCAGCAATTAAAACAAATGACCCAGCATCTGGATTTGGCCATTGAGAGTTTCCACTCAGGAGCAACAACTGGGTCTGGATGTTTGTTTTGACTTAGGAATTAAACTCTCAATGATATGGTTAACATTAAAAATAAATAAAAGAGTGTGAGAAAGAAGTTAGAGAGAGAGAGAAGATTCACACTTTGAGTGACTGAGAAACTGCTAAACCGAGGCTGCTTACTCATGTTTTGTTTGGATTAGACACAAGGATTGTGTGAGAAAAATACAACACAATGCTTTAGAGACAGGGTTGCTCCATTGGAATTGTGGGAATTTCGTGGGTGGGCAGATTTCATACACACATGATTAAAAAGCAACACCATTAGAAAATATTAAAACTGAAGAAAACATGACAGGTGTTCCTTTCTTCTATTTGATATATCATTAATCTCTTAAATTTACTATTATATATGTATGGTAGAAAGAATATGATACAAACCCCTTTTTATATGTAGCTTATTCAACTGGATATCTTCCAGCTGTGCTTCATTCACCAATCATACTTGAATCAGCAACTGATTTATTATGTCGTTCACAATTTATAAACAACTTAATCCGTCAATGCCTCACCTAGAACTTCACATCACTGGTTTTTACCACTGGTTTGGTTTGTTGTTGCACCTCTTGTTCCAAGTGCTTTTTTTTTTTTTGCACTTTGCAGTACCTAGACCATTCCTGCTCAGATAATTTACTTTACTCTAGGTTAGATTTGGGCCTCATTAGGTGGTGAATTTATGCAATGAATTTTGTTTTCTAAACGAGTTTACAGGACTTCTGTATTAGGAAGAAGGATAACATCACTAGTTGACAGTATACTGGATCTACTTCTAAAATTACCACAAAATGCATGCAATCAAATCATCTAATATCAGACCACAATGAAAATTTTAAAAAACACTATTGCCTACTCTCCCACATTTCTCAACAACTGTTGAGGCATAGTAAAAAAAAAACCAAACCAACACCACCTGACTATGTTTGTTCCCTATATATTGGTACCTCCACGGTAAAATTATGAGCTGTTACAAAATTGTCATTTGTTCTTTCCAAAATGTACCCTAAAACTAATCCAACAGATCAAGAAGTCCGTAATCTTTCAACCTTCTTTTAGTATTGACAGATACGTTTTAAGTTGTTGTTCTTAAAAAACATGGCTTTTAACCGTTTCCAGAGAGAAATCTCCTGACGTTTAAAAACAGACTAATAAACATATTACATGACTGAAATTGGAAGCCCCCGGTGGCGTCCCGGGCATTCCCTGAGCAATGTCTTTACAGACAGCCAATTCTCTCACACCGGAAGTTACTTGCAGTTTCTCAAGTCACTCCTGATACATTCATTTTATCTGAATGTATCTGCATCAACATCTCATGGGGTTAGGACAGACGTGAATCAAGTCGTTCTAGAACAGAAACTGCACCACATCAACAGAGCTGGACATTGTATGAACACTATAGTTTGGGACATTTTGGTAGTATGAGCAGTGGCCAGAAACACTGGGTGTGGTATGAATCATCTGGAAGAGAAATGTGGTCTAAGATAGTGGGCCAGGAAGATCAACTGACTGACTTAAGAAGCTGTTTCACTGTCAATATCATCCTAAATATAAGCAAATGCTTATGGAAACCTCATTCCCACAAAAGCTATTCACATGAATTCACAACAAAGCAGAACACCAATCTGAATCTATTGAGAAAGTTGGTGAATTCTTTCCTGAAAGATGGCACCTAGAAATTTCACTCAAGTAAAACATATTTTGTAGCCATTTCATTTTTTTTTCTTAATGGATTTTTTAAATGGAAAAGATAAAACTATTATAATGATACCAAGACAAACATGAAAAATGATGTTGCTTGGATCTACTATAAAATTCCTTACAATTTACTTTGAATGAAAATAATAAAGGTTAAAAGGAGATGATGTCTGTGAACATTGCCATAGTGCTTGATATGGAAATTACTTTATTGCAAGGAACTTTTACTTAGGAAGAAATACCCACAGTGCTATCCCAAAGATATGAGGAAAACACAAGCAGAAGTTGGGCACATTAACTTCCATATAACTTTCTACTACATTCAGAACCACAACTACGACTTTTGGATTAGCACTGTAATGTTGGGAGAGTGTTAAATATCAACTGAGCTTCTAATGCACAATATAAAGCTGGCAAGCAGACCTTAATATATGGAAGTGTTTTAGAGTTGACTGTTGAATTTTAGATGTAGACGATCAGTCGAACTCTTGCTTGCCCATGGAGTCTCAATGGGATTGAAGGTATCCTTCTATTTCAAAGAGTGGTAAGGCCACAGTACAAGCAGTCTTACATAACAATATCCACTGCAGAATCATTGTGATGTACCTCTGATGGGTGTGCCCTGTGGAGGATTCAAATTAGCCATGAAGTGATTGGGGGGGGGGGGGGGGGTTCTGCCTAATTTGGACCACTACGGTCTTCATGTCATTTGCAGAATTCATCTTTGTCCAGCAGTTGATGAAACTGAGAGGATATGATAATGACAAGAAGCACCAGTTTATCATTGTTTCAAACATAATTTACACCACCCTAAACAGTATTGTTTAAGCTGCAGAGCAGAGGTCCCCAAAGGCCCATGGGCCAGATGTGGCCCTCCAAGATTATTTACTCGGCCCCCGCCTTAAACTTTAGACTTAGGGCCACTCCAAGTTTGAAATTACTTGAAGACAAACAACAACAATCCTAATGAACCAAATGCAGGCCGACACTTCCCATTGAAATACTGGTAAGATTTGTTTGGTTAAAATTGTTCATCCTTTAAAATAGTGTTCTGTACTTTGCTTCTTTTTTGTACTACAAATAAGATGTGTGCAGTGTACATAGGAATTCCTTCATATATTTTTTTCAAATTATAGTTTGGGCCCCCAACAATCTGAGGGACCGTAACCCAGCCCTCTGCTTAAAAAGTCTGAGGACCCCCATTGTAGAGGTTTGAGGGTTGGACTACGGTTTTGGAGATCTGAGGTCAAATCTCAATTCAACCATGGAAAACTGCTAGGGGACCTTAGGCAAGTACAACTTCTCAGCCTCAGAAAGCAAACCCATTTTGGACACACCATGCCAAGAAAACTCCGTGACAGGTTTGACTCAGGGTTGCTATTAAATTGGACATAACTTGAAGGCAAACAATAACAAACTTTACCACTTCAGATGTATGGCCACTTTTTAATTTTACCTTATATAAACAGTTCCTTATATATTGATTGTGAGGAAACTAAGGGAAAGGTACCACTGTTGAGCTCTTCCTGGACTGACAAGTTTTCATATACATTTTTCAGAGTATTTTCCCTACTCTGCTGAAATAGTATTATTTTGAGAAAAAAATCAGAACTAATTTAAATTGGCTTTAGAGATTTCTTAATGAAGTTTTTGAGAATGCCAACTTGCTTTTTTAAAAACAAACTTCACATTTTCCACCTGCAGAAATAATCACAAATACTAGCAACCAGTAGCGAATTGTTTCTTGAAAAGCAAAAGCTAACTTTTTAGAAAAAGACAAACCAAACTTCTTACTGTAACTAACACTCACTTCAGTCTTTCTTCTTCATGAATTAGTGTTCTTTCTATACAGCTGATAGAAATTGGAAGACTGATTAACATTTGTTGTGATAGAACACTGTCCTCCCAAAAAAGAAATCCAAAAATATAACCAAGTTACAAAAAATACTGTTCTGTCTATAGCTGCCATAAATTGTTATGTTGCCTGAAACCAAAAACCAAATGAAACATATTTTAATATTTAAATTCAGCTCTTTGTGAAAGTCCTTATATTGTTCTGTTCTATGGTTATTTGACTTGGCCATAGTCTGTGATACCCCACCCATGGCACATACTACGTAAAAGTCATGGCACAGTGCTTCATTTAAAATGTGTGCATCATAATGATAGCACCGTTTATTTACCTGCTCCAAAGATAGCATTATAATGAAGGTGTGATCTGATTGCTTGGTCTTGATGAACTCTTGACAGGTTGCAGCCCCAAAGACAAACAGTCTTGATAGCAAGTAAATAAATGTGAACGATAGCAGAGAAAGCAAAAACCACAAATAATAGAACCACCACATAAGGTAAGGTACAGATCGGAGCATCATGCCCACTGAAAGTACATTCATTTCTTTACAGTACATGTCAATAAGAAAACATGATGTCCAGAGCCTGGGCTTTTACTGAGGGCCAAACAGTTATTTCAGTGTATAAAACTTACCTGACTCTTTTTGTAGCATTTGAAACAAAGAATAAAATGACTAAGAAATTGAACAGGACTCTTACTTCTCCTTCTTCATTCACCGTATAAAGAGAGTTCTCATCAGGTAGTTTGGTGACGCTGATTTTGCAGATTGCTGCATTATTTGTAATTCACAAATTTACGTACAAAAGGAAATAAAAGGGAAGGCTTTTAAAAAGAAAACTCCATGTCCTAGTCTGCAGAAATAAGATATAGGAGCTGCAATAGCCTTGTAGCAATAAACTGCAACTGGGAAGAATATTTTTAAAGTGCTGAGAAATCTTTGCTGCAAAACTTTAAAGCATGGTTTACACATTTCTTAGTAGGCATACATACAATGAACTTCACTTCTACACATTCTGCATCATCTTGCTCAATTTTATCTTTTACAATCATTTAGTAAAGTGAGACACTACACATATTCCAGTCTAAGATGCAATTCTATGAATGATTCACCTTTTGAAAGGAGTGGACAAAGAAACTATTTGTATTAATCCAGATCTCCTCAACATGCACCACAGCACTGTAACAAGTTACTCACACATCTCACCTCAGTTCTGACTTGCACAGCCCCAATGTGAAAGAAAGTGAAGTGGGAAACCATGAAATGATACTGTAGGGTCAATCTTTGGTCATTTAATGAAAACTCGACAACTCCAAAATTGTTTTGTGTTAATTTAATCATACAAATATTCATTTATACATTAAGGAAAAAGCATCTTTGTTTTCCCCACAATGTGCTATTACAGGATTCTTCCCAGACTCAATGAAGCAACACACCATCCTGCTCTACACATGCACTCCCCCCAGAGAGAATAAAGACAGGCTGCAGAATCAACCACTCACTCACACAAGAGAAGAGAAAAAAAAAGGAAACCCAGACATGGGACAGCGTGCATTTCTTAGCCCCAGAAAACATCAGTTATACTTGTACCTATAGAGATTCAGGCTGTGCTCATCTACAGCTGGGGGAAGGATGAGTACAAACTTTCAAATCCCTGAGGCCTCAGGATGCAGCCTTCACCTTCTCTTGCCCCAAATAAACACAACTCGGCCTGCTAGTGCAGACCTGATACTCAACCGCAAAAAGAGGCAGAGCTTATTTTGAGCCAGAGAGGCATAGAGCCAGCCTGGTAAAAAGTCTGGTTGCTCGTTCATCTCAGATTGAAGTCATATCTCAGATGCAAGGGTTACCAGGATATTTTCAAACTCAACAGAATGGGCTATGATTAAATTTGCATTTAAAATAGAATATTGCAAACAGAACACTGTTAATGAAAAGTGGAATTTTCTCTTTGCAAATTGATAATCACTTCTTCCTCTTAGGAATCCATCATAACTTCTTCCAAAATAAATTGCTAAGTAAAATGAAGACAGAGCCAGCTAGACTGACTACATGAAGCAGTCTAAAGTTGGGGAATCATCTTAGCCACTCTATAACTAAAATCAGGAACATGGGAATGAATCAGTCAACATTTGGCTTTGTTCATAAGCAAGCAGTACTACATTTGAAATGGGGGCTGAGGGGTATTTTATTAATAAATTTTCCTACAAATGTAAGAGGGGAAAATGTATATACATTATACTGTTCAGAGCTGGTGGAAGCTTTTATTTTACTATAATTACAGCACTTTGAGAGCCACACATCACTGAAGTGAAAACCCAAACACTCCCACCACTCTAAAACATGAGTGCATACACAGTTTCCTCCAATATGAGCTTAAATCTGTATTGGAAAGATGTTACATGAGATGCTAGCCTAAAGAGAGCTTTAAACAAGACAACAGCTTCTACTTACAAAGGTCTATGCTTCTAAAAACTGCATGAGCTGCAGCAATTCCTGCAGCTACATCTGGCCCTAGTTACTGCACCTTCATGTAATACAAGCTACTTGGTTTCTGCTCATTGGTTGTTAAAAGCCACAGGTTATCCACTGGGAAAGAAAAAAATGGCCACCTGTAGCACCAGCTTTCCCAATGGTCATGAGAAAAGTGCTTCTGAAAGAAAGAAAGCCTTTGCATCTAAACACAAACATGTCCTTACTGTTCATGTTTCAAAGTGCTGCTCAGAGGCAATTATATGATTTAGTGCTCATACGGATTAAAAATTCCTGTAAATGCTTTACAAATTAATGAATTTAAATCTGAGAGATGCAGTAAGCAATGAAGTGGATGGTGCTTTCATGGGAAGAATTTTTGAGAAAAGAAATTGGAGTCATCCTCCCATTGTTATTACTCAAAGGATTATCACCCCACGCAAAATACCTACAAACAGATATGAGTCCTTTGTAACTATTTATATAGAGATCATCCCAAAGAGAAAAGCATATTTATTTTCTGAGAGAACTCAGAGACTAGTGATAATGAGAAGACAAGTGTTAATGCAACTTACAGTAGTTGCGCACTGGCTCTGGCTGTTACCCTTTTTCACTGGAGGTGACAACTTCATTAACAAAAGGCACTAGCACTTGAAAGGAAAAAGCATGGGGTATAAACTGAGGAGAAAGGATATTTCTATATGCTTTAAGGTAATAGTGGACAACTGTGTGGCTCTCCAGATGTTGCTGGACTGTAACTCCCACCATCCTCACAACTTTCAATGTTGGCCACATTATCAACTGGAGCTTCTGGGAGCTGAAGCCCAAAACATGTGAAGGACCAATACTGGAGAACTAATGCTCTAAGAGAACAAGAGCTGGCAATAAGTATCATTTTTCTCTGAGCTGTCAAACAGAAGATGGTCTCCGTAGTATCAATGACATTTCAGATAGGTGATATCTTGAACAACTGATCTAAATAGAAAAGGAAGCCATTTTGATTTGGCTTTGAACTTTCCAGTTGTCACAACTTTCAAGACTTTCAGTGTTGCTGCAAAAACATAGATGCTCACAGTCATTCAATCAGTCGATCAATCACTTGCCTTTCATAAAAGTTGTGTTCAGAGCAGGAAAAAAAACAAAATCAATTAAAAGTAATCACCATGATTAATCCTTTACATAATCCTCTTACATAATCAGTTTTGATATATTTTGCATTTGGGGAATGCATTGCCTAGGGTGATTTAAGTTCTGGAGAGCCATACTGAAGAAAAGGTCAAGCACTGATAAAATAATTTTTCTTATACTATCAAAACTTACTCAGGATTAGGTTCTGACAATAATGATTTACAATGTTCAATGTCTCTTTGAGTCAGATAGAAGGTAGGATAATTAAATTATGCATGTTATGCACAACAGAAAATACCAAGTTAGATATTAAACTGGTCCTAAAAGACTGAGCACCTAAGTGCATGTCCTCCAGGATAGGTCTGGTTATACTATGTATATGCTTCCATTTCTTTTGGTGAGAAGCAGCACTACAGCCAGATACACAAAATAGGAAAAGAGCTCTGCATACCAACAGATGAAACAAGGTAACTTGAAGTATGTTACTTAGGCCTAAAAGAATTCTGTATTACCCCATCTGTACATATCCACACAACCATTATTCTCTCAGAGTATGCAGTTTTGGTCTTTTGAATGAGATGAAAGGAAGGGGGCATTGCATATAGTTACACATATCTTTGGCAGATAGATGCTGTGTTCAAGTTTCTGAATCAGACAGAGGACCCTTCTCCCTGCCATAAGCCTGCTTGTCTTTCAAGGTCTTATACTGATGCAAAACCGAAGAATTTCAAGAGACCAAGCTCTGCTATTTTTCACTATGGAATTGGACAGCTTGGCCTCAGTTACATATGGCTATCATTCTTCATAGGCAGCACACAGTTAGACCTCAAAACAATTCCAACCCTTCAATACTCTCCCTCTTTCCAAAGAGTCCTGTCTTGAAAAGTTCAGAGAACAAGAAATCTGATAAAGAAGTAATTGTTATGAGTGGCGTTTGATTACCCTTCCATCCACATGTTCAAAGCAATTTGGTCTCTGCCAACAAAACATGTACCCTTATCACTGAACAATAAAGCTGGTTATTCAAATTATAAATATGAAAATGTGAGGTTTTCACCTAGAATGACATGAAAGATTAATGACTGGTGCTCTACAGCTAATTGATTTTTTTCTTGGCACAAAACTGACATATGCATGCATAGCTGTCTCAAAGACAGTACTTATTCATTAATGGATATGGGAATATTTTAATATGCTAACCATTCAGTGAAAACTTTGGAAGTACATGTTCAAAACACACAAGGATCAGTCTCCATCATTTCAGTCCTCTATCACTCTCCAGTTGTTTGCACCACCCTTAAACAGAAAAACTGGGACTATATAACTTTATCAAATATAAAAGAAGTAGCAGATGACTAATACACATCATGCCCAGCAAAATGATGTCAGCAGCTTTTTAAAAAGCAAATAACTAGAAAGAAAAAGAAAAAAGCAAACATTTTATGAATCTGGATATTGATCCAGCTAGAAATTAATACCACGACATACAAATAGCTGATGAACTAGCCAAGAAAACACCAGGCTTCCATTCCATAGCAAGCGCATCTCCATAAAAATGCACGCTGTCCCTTTTAAAAAGAAAGTCATCAACAAGAAACGAAAAAAAAATTAACATCTGCTCAGACTACAACCGCTCTGTAGGCAAAATAATTTTTTTCTTTTTAAAAAGAGATGGCTTTTCCATTTTAAGCATTTTTAAAAATTTCTTTTAGGCTACCTAATTAACTGTGACGACGACTCCTAAAACAAAAACATTGGTGTATTTTTCGCTCTCATAGCACTGAATAGCACTCTTGAAATTCAGCATTCATACATGCATACTTTAGTTTTTTTTCTGGAAACAGCTAGTCTTAAGTTATTGTTTTCTTCTTATCCCAGGATATGGAGACCAAGAAGGGGGTTCATGCTGTATCTTCTACAAGCCACAAGAACTCCCCCTCCCTCTCAAGTCCGCTCACTGTAAATTCTCTTCTTGACGATACCCGTTTTTGTTTTTAAGACTGTCCAAAGGGGTAGGGACCATGAAAACCCTGGAAAAAAATTAGAAACAAAAAATTAAATTCAGCAGGGGAAATATGCTAAGCCATGTCTGCTGCAATATATTTGCAGCTCAGTACCCCAAGTGCTTGAAATTCTAATGTTTAAATTATATTCAACTTTTTGCCTTATATTGATATATATGATTCAGCCTAACCAATTTCCTTCCTTATTACAAAGCTACATATCAATGTTTATAAGGCTGAACATATAGCACTAGTACTATTTCCTTATCATGTGCAATGTTTAATTACCATGTATATCCATGTGTATGTTGAGGGCAGGTTTGGGGGCTAAAATGATGAAATTTGATATGGATTCTATGGAAAGGGCAAAATGCCAGGGCCACCTCAAGGAACAGCCACCCCTGGCCATTACCATTATCCTGCCCATGAATTCGAGTGGGCCTTTTGCCACTTTACTCAAAAAAAAAAAAGGAGATGGTTGCTTTATTAATAATACTAACTTATCAAAAAAGGAATCATCCTGTTCTCACAGTAGAGTAACAATGGCAAGAGCTTAGCTTGTCCCTGGAAAACCTAAAAGAAGACTGAAATGGTTTAGAACGGAAGCAGAAAAGAGCTGCTGCTATTTCTGCACTCAAATATTCAGAAAGGCCAGAAGTGATGCTGTGGTGGAGAACTGCTAGAATAGACTAAGCTCTTACAAATATAAGGCTCAGTATATTTAACCCATGGATAAGTTGACCCAGGTTTTTGAGTCAATTTTATTTTACTAAAGTTTATAGATTTATAGAATCCCCTGATGGTGCAGTGGGTTAAACCGATGAGCTGCTGATTGTGATGACTGAAAGGTCGGCAGTTCAAATCTGGGGAGTGGGGTTAGCCTCAGCTTCTGCCAACCTAGCAATTTGAAAACATGCAAATGTGGGTAGATCAATAGGTATTGCTTGGGCAGGAACTTAGTGGCGCTCCATGCAGCCATGCCAGCCACATGCCCTTGGAAGCGTCTACAGACAACGCTCTTTGCCTTAGAAATGGAAATGAGCACCACCTCCCAGAGTCGGACACAACTGGACCTAATGGCAAGGGCCTTTACCTATATTTGACCCATGGAAAGTTGACCCAGGTTTTTGAGTCAATTTTATATTACTAAAGTTTTGAGATTTATACATGTATACATACATCAGTTATTTCAGTCAATCCAACAAGTGCCAGAGCTATACTGAACTGCAAGTATGTGTTTTGTACCAGTGTTATTATTATATTTATTTATATCCCTTTTTTCTTTCTAAAAAGAGACCCAAGGTGGTGAGCATTGGCCCTATAAACATTGGCAATCCTGTTCATATTTCAAATAATGCTAACACCGAACTTCTGTAAACTGTATTTACAATGAATTAGCTTTCCCTGGCATTACATCATTCATCAAGAGTTTTCTGCTCTACTATCCACTGCTACTCCTTATGAGTAAAATATGTACAAATAAATACATTCAGATGTCTCTCAATATGTCACCATTTTCTATCTTGGGGAGTTGGGTTATAGGAGCAATTTGTGTGGAACAGTGCAGAAAGCCTGAGCTAGGAAAGACTGGAATTGAACTCTATCTGATCCTACTGTAGCTCTGTATCCTCAGCATTTAGAAAGAAAATTTGGGGGGGGGGGGGGGATATCTGTATGCACTTGAGAAAAAGCATCTAAATGACCTTTATAAGGTTCACAAATTTTTATGTATGCAAGCTTTATCTGATCTGCTTTTTCCATTTCATTTGTTCATATGGTTGGTTCTGAATAAAAAGTTTACTGGAAAATGTTGAACTGCTCCTTTTTGTGTTGTAGGAACCTATCCCTGTTCTTTCCATGATATTTCTGCCACTGTTAAAGCTGTAACACCCAAGAAGGCTTTGATACCTGAGCATAGCTGTTTAGAAATAAACCAATTTACAAAAGTATGACAAATTATTGGTTTAACCTACCAGTGATTAAACACCTTTCTATAGACTGTGGCGTGTGTTTCTGGAGGGTATTTAAATATACTAACATGGAGTAAGCTGTATTGAACACAAGGGAACTTATGCCTGGGCAAATACTGCTATATGATCAGACTCTGATATTGTCCATTCCCATGTGTCAGAAAGGGTAGCATTTTTTGCTTAGGCCTTTGGGTGTGAATGGTTTTCCAATATATACTTATAACTTTTGGTATTGTTATTGGTATTAACTAAGAAACAAACTGCTTGCCTACCTTCCTTTGGCACCACTCCCCACCCCATGTAGATATCACTTCCCTTAAAACTAAAGAACAGTAGAATTGGCTTTATTTTGCTTTTGTTTGTCACGGACATTGAATTAAGTATATAGTTTAATTTTTGTGAAGGCATTAGCTTTTAACGCACGGCTGCAAAACAAAACAGAAGTCTCCCAGCTTACACTGATGGAAGTCTCAGATAGCGCTACTCAATCAGTCTCTCTTTCTCTTTACTTCCTGGGCTGTTCCTGGTCAGTGCTTTTCCAAACTATCTTAGGTTCTTTTGAATTACTTATGTAAACTGAATACAAACAGGGCAGGGCATTTTGTACTATATTTAAAGCGTGCTATACAAATAGGAAGAAGCAACTCAGAGTTGTTTCCTACAATTTGTCTGTTCGTTCCACTTTAAAGCACATCTGCACATGCAGGAAAAGTATATTCTCCTCTTAGTACTTAGCATTTCAAAATGTGGGAAAAGGGGCTTGCATTTTTTAAAATGCATACACCAGGGGTGGAGAAAGTGAATCCCACGGGCCAGATGCAGCTTCAACCTCCTTTAGAAGCCGAACATGCCACTTGTGGCAGCCTCTGGGGAAACTTGATCCATTAAAAATGGCTCCCCGTGCTCTCTGTGCACCAAAGAACCCAGGAGATTCCCCCAGTTCTGATTTTCAACTAAAAATGTGGCAATGTAAGAGCAAAATTGCCTCCTGCCACAATTCTTTCAAATATTTATTATGAAAACAAATGGAAAATATCATTCCAATTCTATTTCCTGTTTTGTGGATTAGATTTCAGAATTAGTATGTTAAACTTCCTGTGAGAAGAAGCTAAACTTCCTGTAAGAACACGTTTCACTGTCTATATAGTTTTGCCATAAATTTGGCAAGTCCAAACTGGTTATAAAAGTTATACAAAATCAAGCCATTCTGATGTATGGTTCTTTGAAAAAAGGAGGAAACTGATAAACAAATATTTAGATGTTTCAGAACTTCTTGCTAATACATGTGTATACTTAGCGAACTATCTTACATTTAAATCTTACAATTACACTGATCTGGATTTTCCCTTCTTTATTTATGAAGGTATCTGGTGATTGTGTCCTTATGACAAGCCTTGGCTGTATCATGTCTAAAAAAAACACTCCCCCATATTAGACAACTTAAAGTATGTCTCTAATATTTCATTTCTGAGCAAGGTGCTGCTGTGTTTACTCGTGTCTCAGCTTCAGAAATTTCTAAGTGAACCTCTTTCTTTAAGGCTGGTTATAGGATACAGGCTGCTTCGGTTGCCTTGGTAAATGATCTGTACTGGAAAAGGGGCAGGTAAAAGATTGCTGATCCCACTGAACCTCTCAATGCCTTCTGATACCGTTGACCAAATATCATCTGGGTTGCCCTTCTGCAATGAAATATGAAGATCCTGTTTCTAGTTTTTTCTGAAGGAGTTCAGAAAGGGTTGCTAAGGCATTCCTATTTGATGCACGTGGTGCCATTCAGAAGTCCATCTTGTATTTTAATATGAAGCTGCTACAGAGGTTGCTTTGGAGGTTCAGTGCTATCAATTTGATAATGGCACCCAATTATTTCATCTCCTTTTTAACAAATACAAGAAAACGACTGTAGTTTTTTAAAATTACGTGTTGTTGGCAATGGACTTGATGATGGCGAAGAAACTGAAACTTCAAGAAGAAAAGAAGTATCTGGTGAATCAAAAGGCAGTTTTGGAATATGAATTAATGTTAAATGGGATTACACTCACCTTAAACACTTTTAAGAATCAGGTGCAGTGGTAACACTGAAGAAAACTAATGTGAAAGGACTAATTATCTCATGTAACACCAACTTCAAAATGAAATATCCTCCTCATTTAATTGATGGCAATATCAGGAGAGCAAAACTCATTTTGAGAGCAAATCTCCTCCACAAAAGGCACAACTAATAACACATTCCATTTGTTGTATATTTCCATTCAACATCAGCTAAGTATCTTATGTCAATTAGGAAAAAAATCCCATTGCTAAGAAATTCAAAACTTCTAGCTGGAGCTATTGACATTCCAGAACACTTGTAATTCAAAGCTTTGCATGACTTCTAAATACCTTAAGTAGACTTTTAATAGCATTGACTGGCAGGATCTACTACAACACATCACCTGTTGGTCTTGCATCCTTATTTATGTGACTGAATGCAAGTATGAAGGTTGTCATCTTCAACATGTCGGAAAACTACCACAAACCATGCTTCAGGAATTATAAACCTGATACTTTAACCAGAAAGCTAGAATGGCCAGGAATTCCAATACAGCACATCAAACCTCTCTGACTTGTCCCTTTCCGGCACTAAGAAGCTATTTTCTTCAGACAAAAAGGAGAATTTTTGGATAGAATCAGAGTTGAAAGAGACCTCATGGGTCATCTCAAACCTCAGCTTAGAGGATAATACCATCATCTTTTAAAGAATGGTGGAAACAGAATGCTCTAAACTGCCAATGTGATGCAGTTTCAACTTAATTTGCAGACACACAGTGAAAGTGAGAATGCGTGTGTATTCTATTTTAAAAGAAAGTTTTTTCCCCCTGAAAGTTATCATATGCATATCTTCTCTTATGAGACTCCAAATAACCTCCTATTTGGAATCTTGATAACATCTGCTTCTGGTTAGCTTCACAAATGGTCCATTGTCTGTTCATTCAAGATCATTCAATGGATGTTGAAAGAGGAAATGTTAAGGAGTACAGAGAGCAAATCCAAAAGGAACTAAGGGGTGCCTAATTCAACCCTCTGAATGAAGTAAACTCAAAACTGTTAGAAATCACAAACACACTTCCGCACTAATAACCAGTATTTCATTAATGGTCATTTTTAATAACAAAGCACACCAAAGTCACTGCTTCATTTTGATGCAGAAGACACTTCATAAGGCCCCCAGTCACAGTGTTCAACACACTTCACTAAACCGTTCTAAGTTATTCATCACCAGTGTCATAAGAAGAAAAGGAAGAGCCTGGAATTTCCCCAGAATACATAAACAAATAATAATCCATTGTTATCCATTATTGACAAAGGCCTAGCCATTCATTCTGTTGCACGCTATATGACAGTCCATAGGAGTGGCAACAACCAGCCTCATCTGATAAATAAACTGAGGATTATCAATCTTAGTATTTTATAAATAGGCCCTGAAAAAAACACTGGATAATGTTTTACTAGCACGAGCACATTTATGTTGTCAAATTATCCATTATATAGCAGGATCTATGAAGCGTCACAAGATTTTGTGACTGCTGAAACTATGTTTTCTGACCCTTAAGCTAGGTGTTTCATTTCTTAAAGTCAAAGGTCTATTATTCTATGGTTCAAAATGTCATTAAAAGGAACAAATAGGTGCTGGCAAAGAAGAGAGACATTAAAATGCCTTGCTGATGAAGTGGCTAAACAGCACAGTTCTATTCATACCTATTTAAAAATGATTCTCATTGGCATTAATAGAATTTAAAGGGTATAATCTAGACATGAAGGCTCTTTTCAGAAACATAAAGCAATGTAAATATTCCCGAAACAACTATAAGTGTATGCTAAAGTCAGCACAAACCAGATGAATAAAACAAATCTACATCAAACTGCACAAGCCTAGAGACCGTCAGAAAATTACTAACAGCTAACATTTCAGAGATTCATGCTTTAAAAAAAAAAGAAAAAAAGAAGTTAAGCTTACATTAATGTCTCAATGTTTTAATTTGTCTAGTAGAGCACATGCCAATTATTATTATTTTACTAATTATATGTCTCCAATCAGACTTGCATTCAACAAGTTGCATACTCCAATCCAAATCCTTATTAAAAGCATTTGTCATCTTAAAGGGATCGACCACATCTTCAAACATGACATGATTCTATGCCAAAGCATCTATTAATGTTGTGGCCATATGACATTACAAATGTGATTAATTTATATATTCCTTTACAAAGTATCATTTAAGCTTGCAGTGCCCACATCTTGTGGTGATGTCTTTTCAAAAACTAAGTACCTGATGAAGGGACTACATCAAAGTACATTGTTGTATTTTGGCTTTAGATTTTGTCTACCAATTTACAAATAATCATATTGTAACCGAAGAATTGTATGATAAATGACATAATGTGATAATGATTTTAATTACTCTTCCTGGATGTGAACTCCTCTCATTTGTACTATTTGATGGCCACATGGCAGTGGCCACTTTGCTTTTTTTCCCTTCCCATCATGCATGTGAATATATGTATTTTGGCAAAAGACATCTTTAGTCATTCTGTTATGCAGAGATGCATGCACTGATATACTAGTACACTGCTCTGTGAGTATCCACATACACGTCTTATCTTTTAAAACAAAATATCAGCAGTGAATTTGAAATTAAAAAATCAACGATGACTGAACCCACTTCCTGATGGGAGCACTCAAGTGACCTGCACATCCATGCCATTGCCCCCAATCAATTTGGGGCACTTCAACTCCTCCCCTAGTTTCAAAGCACAGTTTTCTGTTGGGAAGGTCATGTTGATCTTCACCCAGAATGGAGGTAAAAGCAAATTCTTTTAAAAGTCATTTAAGGGCCAACGTAGTGAGGTGAACCATCATGTATGTCATGTGTTAAGAAAGCAGCCAACATGAGATGAATACAGTTGTTCTTTCTGTGTAGACAGGCCCTGAATTCTATCTAGAAATGTACTCATCACGACTTTAATTTTCATTTATTCAATTAATATAAAGATAGTACAAGATTACTACACTGTTTGCTCTAACTAACTTTCTTCTACCTCACGTGACTTATATATTCTACTCACTCAGTTTTCAAACTTCCACAAACTGGCAATGATCCCATTGATTATCCCATTGACCAGAGTAATATAAAGCAAAGCATGTTAGATGGGTTTAGATTTATTCTGTCTACACACAAAACACATTGTATTTATCACACTATATTGTGTTGGGTCTGATTCAGCATGTTTTTATATATTTTATGAATAAGGCAGTAAATGGTTCAATAAAATCTGGACTCTAAATTTAAGAGGAGTAACAAACACTTAAAAGCAGTGATCAAATTACAATAGAAATGACACATCCTATCAAATGGTGCACAAAATAAGGAAAAAATGACATGCCATCTATTTGTACATACAAACTTCCAAAGCTGGCAGATAAATTTTTAAAGTACTTACCATATAATATACTTTAATTTTAAGTATGCTCTTAAAAAGAATCTTTGTGAACTGCTGTCTTCTCAGAATTAGCATCCCAGAAATAATAGTTTAACAAGCATCCGGAAAATATGGTTTTAACAGAACATTTAAAGCATTTGAATTTTGCCATGGTTTAGCTTGCTTTTAATTTGGTGAGAGTACCTGACAAATTGAACATGAAATGGAGGCCTTGTAAGTGGAGGCTGTGGGGCTACACAGATTAGAAAGAAGGACGGCAACAAGTCATGGATTCATGACCTCCCCATTCTCTTGCACCCCCAGGGCACCTACCTTACTGTATGTCACTACTGATAAGTTGTTTGAGTGACTGCTGGGGGAGAGATTTACAGAGTTTTGTGACAGTTCAGTCTGATCTTGTTCAATTTGGTCAGGAGCAGGCCCCCACGTGTTTTTGCTGATTGTATCTAGCTCGGAACCCCCAGGGTCTTTTAAGTTGTTTTCATCTGGTTGCCTGTTCTTCTGCGGAGAGGCGAATGGGTTAAAGTTTCCTTCTACCTTGCGATGTGGTTGCGTGTTGAACTCTGTTTCAAATGATGACAGCTGCTGTGTTACTCCTAAAAGTCCTCCAACTTCCACACTGAGGATCACCCAGATGATGTCTGCGAGAGAGAAACTTTGGTTAGAATACGGAAAAGACACAGATAGTTCGCATGTTGATTGTGAATAAGTATGTGCAATGAAAGACCAAACATTCTCAAGCAGTACATAAGTTAGGGAGAGAGTTCTGCCCTTTCCAAAGCCATACCAATTTTCTCCCAGCCACACTTGCTTTTCCATTCATCAAAGCACCCTGTCATGCAGGATACTGAACGTAGAAAAATACTGCCATCTGCTGTTAGCCACATCATTTGTTTCAAATCCCTCCCAAGAATCTCTACTAAGAGATAAGGCAATGTTCTTCACCTATTTATTTGTAATATATTTTCCATTGAAAGAAACAGTGGCTTTTGGGTGATAAAGTTGGCCATACTGGTTTAAAGAAGATGAAAATAAACAGGAAAACGGGCAGATTTCTCATGTGGATTCTGAGACACAGTTCTCTGGTAAGGATAGCTCCTATCCAGCATTTTGTAGATGGCCTATTTCACCGTGTTCCCCATCACAGTGCCCACCTTAATATTTCTGGTTATTTTTTTTTCTTGCATTGTTTGAATGAGTCTTAATGCTGTTGTTTTATAGCAGTGGTTCTCAACCTGGGGTCCCCAGATGTTTTTGGCCTTCAACTCCGAGAAATCCTAACAGCTGGTAAATTGGCTGGGATTTCTGGGAGTTGTAAGCCAAAACACCCGGGGACCCACAGGTTGAGAACCACTGTTTTATACCCTTAAATCAGTGATTCCCAAAGTGGGCGTTACCACCCCCTGGTGGGCGCTGCAGGGATCCAGGAGTAATGGCGGTAATGGCCACAGGTTCCTTTGGGGGCGATGAATAACTGTAAGGGGGCAGTGAAAGCATAAAAGAAAGAAGAGAAAATTTAGAAAAATTGATTTCCAGGGGTAAGCCAAATAAGTTTGGGAACCACTGCTTAAATTGTGTTTTATCTGATAGTTATGATTTGCTATGTTTTATTTTAATCATTTTTTAAAATGGACTGTTTTGCCTTGATGTTTTGTGGACATTTTGTCCCGTGTGTAAGCTCCTCTGAGTCCCTTTGGGGAGATGGAAGCGGGGTATAAAAATAAAGTTGTTGGTGGTTTTATTGTTGTTGTTATTATCACTCTCTCCCCATCAATTTCTTCACTTTCCACCTTTAATAGTTACCCAGGCATTTCATGGTCACTGTGTATTACTCTTACTAAAGGGTTTCCCCCTATCAAGACCCCTTTGCTTTATTTCTGCACATCTCCTCCATAAACTAATGATACCTCAAATTTTATGTGTGAATGTCTATGTTTTTGGATAGAAAGTGTTTCTTGCAAAACAGAATTTGTAATTAGCATACAAGAATCAAGTAAAAATACCACTTAGGGCTGGGCGGTTTCGTTTCGTAATTTGTTAAAAATTCTTTTTTTTTAAAAAAAAAAATAACGAAGCGATAACGAACCATTCAGGAGCAACTAAAAAACGGAAAGAATTTTTAAATTCGTTTCATAATTGTTTCGGATTCGGTTTGTATTCGTTTCGTTATTGTTTTGAAATCGTTTCGTTATTATTTCCGCATGTCTGGGGCAAGTTTTATAGTTGTTGTTTGTTTAATCAGTGGAAAAAAATTATAAATATCGCACCAACAGTCAACAACAGAGGGAGAGGGAAGCTTTAGAAGTTCCCCCTGTCCCATTTGGAGGTTTTTTAGCGTATTGCGCAGTCGCGTCCGCCATTAACGAATCGATTCGTAATTGTTTCGTATTGTTTTGTAATTTACGAAATTTCGTAAATCTCGAACTTTTTAAAAGAAAAATTTCGGAATTCTTTTAAAAATCAAAACGCAAAAACCCCCAAAAAACGAATCGGTTTTAGAAACAAATTTTTCCGTGGTTGCCCAGCCCTAATACCACTTATTTATATCCTGTCATTTCTCCAAAATGAGGAGAAATGGCAGGATTTGAGGCAACCGCATCTTGTAGTGTATAATACTCAACAGTGCAACAGAATAGCTTTGCAAAAAAGGAAGCAGAATGCTATATTTTTAATGAAGAAATGCTTATAAGAAGAGCATGATCAGTCTTTCCATAGAAGGTAACAGAGTGCTCTATATATTCATGCATAAGTCTAGAATTTTTAGTCACAAAAAGAATCGACACAAAAATTCTGGGTCAACTTATCCACAGGTCAATGTAAGTACTGTATCTTAAATCTTATTTTAAAAAATGAACCCGTCCCCTTCTCTGAGTATAGTGGCAAAAGGTAAGAGCTGAGTCCATCCTGAAAGAACCTAAAAGAAGCAATAACTCTTTCTACTCTCTCCTGCCTCTCTCACAAATTGCACAACCACCGATTGCCATTATTCCTTCCTCCTTTAGGGAAGAGCACAAAGCACTATGCCTAATGAATTTTTGTAAGTTCTTTGGTATCGACTTCCTTTGTTTCATCTTTTACACTCATTGTGACATGCCCCTAAGTGAAGTGTGAGTTAACAAAGAGTGCAAAGTTCTCTTTAATACAGGAACAGTCTCATGGAAAAGTTATTGCCTTTTCCTGCAAAATCACATTTCCTACTTCTATCTTGGAGCAGCACATATCAAAAGAAGGGAAAGAATGTCACTGTGCCTTGCCTCTTATGAAGTGGCTGCAGGATTGACTTTAAAAGAAGCTATTTTCAACAATTTGCTGAATGTGATTCTTAATCTCACTTGCATAAACCAAGGAAAGCATGTAGCACATAGTACATAGCACTGCAATGAAATGCCTATAAAATGGCTGCTGTCATGTTTCAGGAAATATTTTAATCTATCTGTGGCCAATATCTGCAAAATTTCTTGCTGGGCAAGACTATTGTGAGAAAATATATTTCTTTCAAGTGAGTTTCATGTACAGTTCTTTGTAAAAGAATTCAGCAATTCAGCAGTGATTATTAGTAAATAATATTTTGACATGAACCAATACAGTCTTAAGAGTGCAGATGAGAACAAGGTGCTCACCTCCATAGTAGAGTCCTGTGGCAGTACACATTCGCCACTGTCCTTGATACATTCCTGCGGTACTGGGGCTGCACATCTGAACGCTGACATCTGCAATCTCCTGGGGCTCCAATGATCGGACCATCACCATGTTCACATGGCCAAACTGGTCTCCCCCGACGTACTTAAGACAAACACCTGGAGGCCATGCTTCTGCCCCTGAGATTCAGTAAAGACTGCATTAAAACATCTGACAATAGAAAAACTATATTCACAAAAAAAATGGCAAACACGCTCATCCAAGTACAAAACATCTATTATATATGCTGTTTAATTAAGCGGCCAAGGGCATTAGTAAATGCTTGGCATTTGCAGTGAATAGGTGGGTTATAGATCTAAATATAACTGATTGTGTGCTTTGTGTGAACACACCTCTCTCTCTGGACATGTAAAAGTAACAGGCAGACTTTGCATGGATTGATACACATGTCCATGAAGTGAACGTAAGGTGGTGCCTTTGTGGCAACACATTGTGGGAAACATGTTTCTATCGGCAATATCATATTCTGACCCACGCACATCCATATGTGATATGCCAGGAACTGTACACTCAAGGCTGCAGACAAAGCTGCTTTTATGTAAAAAGGGTTTGCTTCAACTTGCTGTCTTTCAGAAGCACATAGTGAAATCCAGACAACACCTAGCATATATGGTCACACAAGTCCCAAGATTGAATATAGTACTTAATGCAGAGTTCTTGTTTAATAACTACAATATTATATGAGGCCTGAACACTTAATTTTTCTCAAATTGTTTGGATGATTGCTTAGCCAAGAGGATTAGCTCTGGTGGACACAGCTTTATTTTTACTGTTGGAAAAATTCCCAGGTTCAGCTTTTATAGCAGGGACCAGACACAGCAATGACTTACCTTATGGATTAGCAATACCATAATGTAAAATGATTGGCTGAAATGGATTTAGAAAACTTTTATTTGAAAGTAGTTCCGGTCATTAAACATTAGCCTGTAAACTGTATGCTTGGGATGTCAGAAGAAATCAGAAAGGGAAGAACTGGAATGTGCAAGTAGGAAGAAGGAAACCCCTGACATGTTGATCTGAATTGAGACTACCAAGGAACCAGTCTGTTGCTCTGAAAATGAATTAATTTTGAATTGTTGCTGTTTATTCAATTACAACAGAAGGTTAAGGTCTCAACTTGGGCTGCGTCACACCTGCACAATATATCCACTCTAGTATGAAATATTCTGCCTTGGTTTAACCTTCATAAATATCACACGCACCCCATATAATCTGAACCTAATGTGTACCGACAGACACAAATTCTGTCCAGCCAAAGTAATATAGGGACAAAATAGAGTGTTCAATCATATCCACATGTTCTGATTATCTTTGGTCACATGTCAACTAGCTGCTGCCAGTGTCTTTTTCTTCCTATTACGCACATGCTTTCTTGTTCTCCTGTCAATCTTACCAACAATCATGAACTCCCACTGGATCCCCCGCTCTCCAATCTACTTTCCTACTCCTGCCCAGTGAGTGTGTGAATGTGGAACATTTAAATGTCATGGCCTAAAGTGACTGGGTGGCTTTTTCTCTCTGTCTCTCAAACTGCTGGATGGCTTCGGGTTTTTTAAAACTTAATCTTAAGTTTTATTTATTCATCCTCCTCCACATGAAGGCTGCTTTTCCAACCTAAAATTACACCCTGCTCCAACTCATGCCCTGTCTAGCAGATGCAGGGATCCTATTCCTTTTTTTCCCACTTGCAACCTCCATTGAAGATCGTTTTTCCATCTGATCCCTTTAATCCTTCTCTCACACAAGTGAGAGTACCTGATCAGAGGAGCACCAGTGCACCAAAACAAAGAGCAACTTATATGGCATGTTTTAAAAGTAATGGAGAGCCTCATGCCTTGTTAGTGACAATCATTTCTTGTCCTGAAATCTTGCATTAACTCTTGCACCCCAACCTCCATCCCCTTACTTCCCTCCCACCCCAGTGAAAAACTCATGTAATACAATCATAAATATATTTTAAAATATTACACATTTCCCAGTAAGCACAGAATATTACTTCTTTGAAAATTAACCTTTTTAAAAATGGCAAGACTATGCTTGCTAGATCTAGGTGTGGATCCAGTCTTGGTTGAACACTCAAGAAACAATACCACCCAGAAGGAATATAGTACCCACACAGCAAGCTAAGTTCACGCTGGCATTCATTTTTCACCACCAGTTACTAGCCTGGCAGACAATGTTATCTTCTAGGAACTTCCTGTGGTAATTAATAAAGCTTGAAGGTCCACTATTAAAGATAATGCCGAGATGTCAGTAAGTAAACAGAAAACAGCCTGAATCTTTGGGAGTGTTTATTAAAGAACAGATCACAGAAAATAACAAGGTAGATCTTTATTCCTCTATTGCTAGATTTCAGAGAGAAATAAAGGAAGAAGATAAACCTGTGCATACCACATTATAAAATGGGAAGATATCATTCAAAGCTTTTTGTACAAAACAGCATCACATAGCTTAAATAATTTATTACTTTTTTGTATATACACATCATATTTTCAGAGCAACAACAAGACATAACATTTAAAATTCATTTTGTTCTCCATCATGTGAATATTTTACTGCATTTTAGTGGTGTGGTGGTTATAATTTGCAGTAACTGCAGTAAAGGAGTCTCAGTAGCATCTTATTAATGTGTATTCAAAAAGTAAATCTCTAAATTCAATGGAATTTATTCTCTAGTAAGTTTGTGTAGGACTACAATTTAAAAAGAAATTCTGTTTCAAAAACACCAATTGCTCCAAGGACGTAACAATTAAAAAAGAAGAAGCAAAAAGGGGAGAGGAAATAAATATCTATTTTCTACAACTTTTATTACTCTTTAGAGGAAAAATATATATTTTAAATTCTAGGCATATAAGATACTTGATCTATTAATAAAAGGAACCAGTAATAAACCATACTATTCTGAAGTATTTCTTTATAGCGTTATGAATAATCTGTTCATAAATTCTTTAAGCCATCAAGCCTCCTCAAAATAACATTTGGATTCATTCATCTGTGACTGGAAATATAACACACTAAAAATCAAGGGTTGTTCAAGTGCTATTGCTTAACTTCAGTATTTTTCTGGACACAATATTACTACCTTCACCGCAATATTAGTCTCTGGTATATTTAAATAACCCCACAGAAAATGAAGTGTAAAAATATGCATCCAATCTGTTGTGGCCTCATTACCCCTTACACACTTCAGAAACAGACACTGTAAGTTGCATGTTGTTGTTTTTTTCATTTTTCCTATCCAAATATAAAGAACCCAACATAAGAGAACAAACATATTTCTGTTTGACATTTTTCTATGATAAAGTTTTAGTATGAAAAACCGATTGAGATTTTGAAAAGACAAAAATAAGTCTCAGATAGAGGTTAATTAAAACATCCACTTTGCATCATAGTCCTTCAACTTTAGAGCAAATTTAAAGTCCTGTGATTATGAATATATGCAAATATCAAAATTTGTATATAATGTGTGTACATGCATAAACAGAAATATATTATTGACAAACAATACATTTTAAGGAAAAACGTTAATATGTAAAGTTGAAAGCATACATTTTCCATTGTTACTATTTTGCACAAAAATCATGCATACAATCAAAACATGGATATGTGGGTCAATTAAGCTACATTTGGACAAAACAGTATCTGTAGTACAGTTGTTTCCTTTTATCAGTTCTCACTTCTCTTCAGTTATTTTGTACTCTCCATCTCCTTTTATTTCATTCCTTCTGAAAGCTGCATCCCTGTTTTATTTCCAGAGTTCTTTAAAACACACATGGAATCGACAAAAATATTTTAAGGATACATTTTGACACCGCTTTGTTCAGCAGTGGCAAGCAGAAGGCCCCAAAATTTAATCTGCTGTATCCAAAACCAGTCATTAAACTAAGAAACAGATGCCCGCAGGAGTTCAACTAGCTCCCACAGCTATTTGAATCTAGAGTAGCTAGAACTAATCACCTCCACTGTTTTGACAGGGTTAAAATAAAAATACTGGTAAATCTCCCTTTTGTAGACATACAACTCACAGACACACCCATAACCAGACAATGGATGAGGGAGTGGAAGGATGGCTTCGCTCCTCAGCACTGTTTAGAACTTTCTAGTTATTGTGTTAAACTTCCAGAGTCCTCTGCTTTAATATCTATTGAGCCTTTTATTTGATTACTGTAATTAAGATATTTTGCTATGGTAAAAAAAAATGCCATAGCTTCATAACCTCATAAATTAAAAGTAATGGCCTGGAAATATCATTACATATTCAGAAATATGCCAGAGCTAGAGATGAAATATTTGGATTGTCAGACTAAAAACACAGGCTATGAAAACACAGAGAGTAAACATTAGCTAGAGTTAGAGAATAACTGCACCTCATAGTGACATGTGAGGATGGAAGAATGCCCAGGCAAGTACAGTTTGACTTCGGTTCAGTTCAGATATAATAACAAAACCATGATTTTGTTGTTATCTTTGAACTGGGCCTTTGTGTTCTGCTGCACTGTCTTTTACTGAGCAGAACTATTCTGCCTATGACACAAGAAGAGAAACACAGCTCTGGAAGTCAAGAAGCAAAGAACAGACAGCAGCAATTTATTTAGTCCTAGCTGTTTGAGATCAGGGAAAAATATTGTTTCTCTCCTTGAAACCAAGTACAAGCACTGAAAAAGATTATACACACAGCAAGGATAAGTAAAGTGGTCCCTCCAATTTTGCCAGAATCACAAATCATAACCTCTAAAGCCTCAGAGTGCTATAACCATTTTCTAAGAAAAACAATAATAATTCCACTTTCAAGAATATGATTACATAAAAAGAAACAATGGGATGGAGGGAATACATAGGATATGAATGTGAACTAGGCATATAAACTTATGCAATTTTACCACTACCAATTTCTTCAAATTAGCATTCATAAAATACCATATTTCACACATGAACATTAGCCTTGCTACTGGCATTGAAAATATTTTTTCTGAAAACATTGGAAGTGAACTATCAATCACTATCAATCATTTTTAAAAAGCTGATAAAACCTAAAACAGGCTCAGAGGGTGACTATGTAAATGGTAATTTAACTCTCAGACGTTTCTGGAAGCTATGGTTTGCAAAATATGGAGCAATTTTAGTTCATAGTATCAAGAGAGTGAAGCTCTCCAAGATCTAGCAGAGGGCAAAAATGCTTCCCATACCCACTGAGCCTGCCTACTCCTGATTCAGAGAAATCTACAAGATTTCTCCAGCCTTGACAGATAACCAAAAGTTGTAGTCATCAGTGCAGGAACGGGTTTTGGCTTAATGTAATGCTGAGCTTTGGATAAACTCTGATCTGCTCCAAGGCAGCGCATGAGATCAAGGATGACCTCCAACCCCAATGTAGTTCCACCCCTGAAGAAGGACAGGAAACTGTGCTTTCGAAGTGTTTGGAGCATCTCTGAAATACAACATGATTATTTCTATTTCAAAAAACAATATCAGTTCAAAAGCCATGGAGATATTTAACCATTCACCTGTGTTCTGTATCCTCCATGTTTTTGTAAACTGGGTGTCAGGGGGAATGGACTCTCCTTCTCCTATGGTCACATCTTCTACAAAGGACATGGAGGGCACGTTGATGTTTGGACTCTCAAAATCATAGTAGGCTCCAATGGCTGCTTGTAAGTTCCTGGAAAGAGAGGAAGGCATTTGTTCAAGATACAATTATAATGGGCTATCTCCACAATGAGATATCTACATGCTCCATTTTAATAGTGAGAACATTACTAGCACATTTACAAAAGACTAGAGTCCTCTATACTTAACACTATCTCTGTGGAATAGAAAGGAGAAAGTGTCTTCTGACCCTATCTTCAGTAACATATGGCCCACTCAACACCCGCCATTGAGCAGGACATCTGAAAAGAGACGCATATGTTCAGAGACCCTTTTGCAGACATTCTGCTCAAAACTCAAAAGAAGGGCCAGCCAGCACAGTTCCGCTCCCTCTCCCTATAATACACACATAGAGAGCAATCTGAGAAATGCAAGTGTTCTGTTAAAAGTTTGGACATTAACAGAATAATGCTGTAGCATAAAACTTTCATGGTTAGGGAACATTCAATGTCATCTTTGACTAAAACATTTGAAATTTATAAATTATTTTGAATTGCAAATACAATTTTAAAAAAACCCATTTTACTTTCTTAGAATCATAGAGTCACAGAGTTGGAAGAAACCACTAGTGTCATACAGTTCAAAAGCCTGCCATGCAGGAAAACACAATCAAAGCACCCCCAACAGATGGCCATCCAGCCTCTGCATAAAAACCTCAAGAGAAGGAGACCCCACACTTTACACACAAATGTAGAAGAAAAAAACAAAACCGACTATAGAAAAAATGCTAAAAGAGCAACAGATATTGCATATTGTTGTAACTTGTGAAATGAGTTTAGAAGATATGCAGTACAATAAAGAAAAAATGACAGAAATCAGAAACAAAGCCTTCCTTTCCCCACCACTCTGCAGTGTGGGAAGGTATACAGGCATTCTACCATCTATTAAAAGGAATGTGTCGCAATATACTATTCAGTCATTAATCAAGGAAGATGAAATGAGAGATTATGTTTCTTGAAGAGATAGATCTGGATAGGAATCTATATAGGTCTTCCATTCCCTATAACAATCTAGTATACTGACTAATGGTGTGGGAATTTTTCTACATGGGCAGTGTCCTTGGTGGAACACAATGTATTTTCTATTTCATGAACAGTATTTATAGCAGGTAAAAAGAACACAACAGTAAACATCAACTTTGCAAAAAAACCCAATTTGCAGTAGTGTCATTTGCTGGACTATATTTTTGGAACTCATTTCTTTCTGAAATCACAGTACCCTAGAATACATAAAATAGCCATTCTAAAATTACAAATCTTGTTCCAGGCATTCTAACAACTTGAAGCACAATAGGAATGATAACCCTTCCCTATACTATGATCCTCATCAAGAGGACACACTGCACTGTATGAAAATGTATGTGGTCTGATAAATCCTGAAAAAGGACTAAGATTGCAGAAGGAGGAAATACTCTGCTGATCATCTGGGAAGAATCTCAGGAACTATGGAATCATGGAGGTTCTAATGAAACTACAGGACAGGTAAACTGAACCCAGCAGAGAATAGGTTTAAAAATTACTGAACAACAATGGAATCGTGCATCTAAGCCTCTAATTTCTTCAATTTCTTCATCTCTGGGCAAGAATTCCAGAGACTGTGAATATGTGTTGGCTTGTTCATTAACATGCTACCCATTTTAATTATATTCACAAGAAGGGCTGGTGAATTACGGATTGCTCTATAAACAAGGTATTCGTGTAGTGTAGCTTTTCCTATTTGGGAAAGCTCATACAACATTTCTTATGCATAGATACTTTCAACTCTGAGATAATACATCGATTGCACATAGTCAAGAATAGCTACATCACCACATATTAGATGTCTTGGGAATCAGAGATTCACTATAACTTTTGCACAGCACCATAATTTTTCTGGCAAGGAGAAGGAGGCAGTACTGTATATAAAGCTGTTGATTTAGTCAACTAGTACATGGAAGCACATTCCATCACGTCAGATAGCACACTAGACACCACCACTCAGAACTGGAAGGGGAAGCCTTTACCTTTATCTGTGTTTAGTTGTTTCTAGGCATTGAATGTTTGCCTTTGTGTTTGTGTATGCAGAAATCTATCCTGAGTCCCCTCGGGGAGATAGGGTGGAATACAAATTATTATTATTATTATTATTATTATTATTATTATTATTATTATTATTATTATTATTACATGAAGACAAATGCTCTATACGTCACTACCTTATTGTTATATTTATCAGAGAGGCTTGGGCTAACTAAAAGTGTGATAAATAAATCCACCAATATAAAAATGTGATTGACATAATCCAGTGGTCATGTAATTTAAAAATAAATTATAACCAGCCAATTTCTAGAATCATCTGTTTCAATGAAAAGTATTCCCTTAATTTCTGACCAAAGACAAAACTGAGAAAAAAGACAGCTGTTCAATTATTGTGCAGCACTTCCCTACAACTGACCGTCTGCCATCTTTCTACAGCATATTAAAAGACAGAAGTCCTCAGATACATTTATGCACCATGTAGCGAAAAACTGCTAATAGAATTCCATCCAGCCACACAATATATACAGGAAAAGCACTTATTCTTCAAAACAATTCTTGAAAGAAACCACCAAAGCTCACGGTGTTTTTATTTTCCATCCTGCAAATATGCTTCAAAGGGGAAAGGGCTATTTGTGCATCAGGGCTCACTGCCAGCTTTCTTTCCCTCCATGTGTCATATTTCATCACCCAGCTTTGCCACTTGGAATGGTTTCAGAGTCTGTTCAAGTTAAAGTCTAACTGAAAGCAATTCAAGCTGAAAAGCAAACTTGCAATCTCATTCTCTTAATTTATTTTAAAACTTTCAAAATAGATATGCTAAAGACAAAATGAGTAAACAACTTAAGTTCACTTGTAAATTTCCCCGTAAAAAGTTGATAAAAATTATATAGCATTCACAACAAAAATGACAGTATTAAAACTACCTGTGTGTGTGTATGTGTGTGTTTGGAGATACTAGGGAAGTCAGGATGACAAAGCAAATGCTGGACTGAAGTTCAACTGAGCAAGTGCTCTTTGGAACAGAACAGTTCAAAGGAGATACGCTCACCCTGTACAGTGGGACTTTGCAAGAGATGTGAGTACATTTGAAGACACAGTATGATTAAATAATGAGCAACACATTAAGCAGCTAGTTTCTTCTTTAGTTTCTTACAGTCAAATGAAACATCAGTGTAAACATTCACTTCAAAATTGCACACTATTTCATTATACTGTTTAAAAGCACAGTTGTACCTTTATGTATGAAACCCTGGGGAATGATGAAAACATCTCTCACTTCCCACAAGCAGTACTAGACATGGTTGGTAATTATGAAATATGTGCTAAAAGCAATAATTCCATATTATTGGCCATGAAAACGTACAAATTACAACTACACTATTTATGTGCTTTTTCTCTCTTAATGAGACTCAAAGCAGCAAATCGTGTTAAAAACAATATATAATTAAAAACCTATAGACTAAAACAGAATTAAACCTAGAGTTATCTAAAAATGAATAGTTAAACCATTAGAACCTATTTAAAATACATAAATCAATAGCCAACCCCCCCTAGCTCGGTCACCTACCACAAGCACTACTAGAATTAGTAACAGTGATATAAGAGCTAAGAGCAATAGGAGGTAAAAGCAATGATTCTACATTACTGGCTATGAAAAAGGACAAATTAATACAGATATACATATCTACATTATGACACCTTATAAACACTGCAAAGCAATTCCCAGTACTACAACATATTCCATTCTCACCGGTTTATCTTAATCTATGCATAACATCTTATGAGAAGCATCTTTTTATACATTCACTCAACACATGTACTTCAAAAAATCCTTTCATTGCGTACTTCTGTCCTTACCCAGTAACTTCAGAATTAAGTCCATTGAGTAGCATATCAAGTGCTCTCAGATTCAGGATTACTTATATATGCTCTCTTTACCATTAGCTAATGGTATTCTTACTACAGGTTTCTTAACAAACTTGTTATATATAATCAATATGGGATGATGGAAAATTATAATGGATGCAGTAGTATTAGGCCAAGAGATCTGAAGAAAATATAGATTGCATAAAGTGTCCCTGTGAGACACTGGAATTGTATGAGGAGCTGAATTTTCCTTTTTGTTGCAGTCCCTCAAACTCCGAATATCACCCCAGAAGGCAACCTGAAGAATAGATTTTAAATACTTCTCCTTTTTATATATATCTTTATCATATTTTGTACACACAAAACTAGGCAATCAACAAAGAAACAAAATTAAACACCGATAACAAAAAGTCACAACCCTCCAATACCACCATCTATAAAAATAATTATTTATTTATTTACTGTACTTATACCCTGCCCTTCTCACCCCCAAAGGGGGACTCAGGGCGGCTTACAAACTATGGCAACAATTCAATGCCAGATTTGACTTATAACAATATCAATAAAACATAATATTATAAAACTGTAAAAAAACACATTGATGTCAATTAAAGTAAATTTAAAGGTTACTTCCCATCCAGTGGTTCCTAACCTGTAGGGCGTGGCCCAGCAGTGGGCCGCGAGAATGAAAATCCAGTCTGCGAACCTTCTTTGTCTTTATTTTATTTTATTTATTTTATTTCTGCTCCTCTCTAGCCCCGCCTCTTTTGGTACGAATGTTGGAGTGTGTCCCCTGGTCAAAGTGGTCCCTGGTCAAGTGGTCCGTGATCAAGTGGGCCCTGGTCAAAAAATGGTTGGGAACCACTGCTCTAAACCATAGACAAAAATGCTAAAGTAGCAGTCACGTCCTCATTACTACTTACCTAACTTTATTTTTGACTAATATTCATATAAGAAACCTTACCTTCCTTCTTCTTTAATAGTTCCCAATCTTTTTTTAAAAATGAACAAAAGTTCCATCTCCAAGCAACCAAAATATTTTATTGACTTCATATGAACAAACATTACAGTATTTCCCTTTTATTTGTGGAGGACACACCCCAATACACATTGCGTTTGATCCCTGGTA